GTGATAATGGAAAGTGAAGGTGTCAGCTGTGGTACAGAAATAGAAAACCTTGGGGGACAAACTCTGAAGGACATTTGTATTCTTAACATCATCAGTATTACAGCTGGCTCATGGGCACTTGTCGTCAGGCCTGTTTTAAAGTGAATGTTAACCAAAACTGTTCTTAGAGGCACTATTAAATCGAATATAAAGAAAGCAAAACAAAAGCAAAACGAAGCCACTAATCTTTGCTCTTAAACAGATTAACCTTTACAAATGAATTTGAGGTAATAATTTTTTTTTAAATCCATGGCTCAACCATCATGTATTATCAGAGGCCTGAGTTTTGTGGTCTTTTATTTTTGTGGAATTCAGGTTACAAGTAACTGAATTCTATTTGTTTTACAAAGAAGGTTGCATAATATTCTATATTCTAATACAGTTCCTTTATTTTCTACAGAATTAATAGATGCTCAGGGTAATGGGCTGTAGTGGTCCTTAAAAAATGAGAGAAACAATTGTTCCACTGAGATTTTATATTACCTTTGAAAAAAAAATAGTTATTCTATGAATGGTGAAACTTACTGCTTTTCTGTGGTTTTGTGTGCTGCTGCCCTTATGCCCTCCACATTGCTTGGTATTTTCAGCTTCATGCTGCACCCTGCCTTTCTGACCAATACATAGTTGCAGTTTTAAGACAAGGTGTGTGTTTACTTGCCATCTGAAGTAAAGAAGGAAAAGCATGGTATTTTTTGTACCTCAGCTTGCTTGAGACCTTTTGCTTCTGATCCTTAGTTGAAAATAAATCTATTATTGACGTGTCTACTATTGGATTGATGCAACTCTTTAATGTATGGTATTATAAATACTAAATATTATATGTACAAAACAAAAATTAAAGTCTCAATTCTCCAGTCTGCTGAGAGCACAGGACTTCCCATAATGCAGAACAATTGTAGCAGTTTTACTTATGGAGATAGGTAAAGCAATATTCTGCTGTATGGGGAAATTCTCTGCCAGCATATTATCTGGCTTACCTGGGTAGTCTTCCTCTTACAGTGATTTCTGCTTCAGCTCCTGGTAGGAGAAGAAGAAAGATTGCACAAGGCAAAGCAAACATACATATGAGCAGATTTATCCTGTGTGATTTTTCTTTGCAATAAGTTCAGCTTTGTGACAGTAGGTTTTTACCACCTCCAGCCTGCCAGGCTTTTTGTCTGCTCATGAATCAGCTTTGGAACAATTGCCATTTTCAGCTAGTGCATCAAGTTGTCTAAGCAAATACTCCAGACTGAACACTGAGTAGCTCAGGAGATGGTTCATGTATCAAATATTCTTATCTTAGAGCTGGTGATGCTCTTTGTAGCACAGGTGGTTGGAGTTAAATTTTAATGAACTCAAAATAGCCAAATTCAATTGTACTGTCAGATGTTAACTTGGCTTGTTACCCAGCTTCCGCTGGAACCCAGGAAGGATAGGATCAGACAGCTGCACTCAATTTTGTGAAATCACAACTTCAGTTTAGGTAGATCTGAGTCCAAATAATGTATCATACTGACAACTGGTACGAGATGGGTCGACAGAGAGTTTGAAGTGCAAGTACTCTGTTGTCAGTGTCTGATGTATCTTTTACATAGTGATAAAAGTCTGGGTTTGAAGAGTATGTATGGTAAAAACTAATTGAGATGTATAATATAGTGTAATGCAATTGCATCCTTACCCAGACAATCCCTGAATTTTTTATTTGCTTTTCACTGGTGCTAACATATGGTAGGCATTAAATTAGATTACAAAATCTATGACCACAAAAAAAAAAAGGGAGGTGGTAGTGTGAGTTGTTGAAGCCTTTTGATATGAAAAAAAGTACCAAAGAATTGTAACTGTGTATGTGTATATTCCCGATCCTGGAAATATGTTCCTGTTGGGTAAAAGAACTAGAAAACTGACTTTTCAAAGGGAGAAGATAAGGAAAATTCTGCCTTTAACATAGGAAAACACAGGTAATGTAGGTGGCTGCTTCTCTAACCACCCTGCTTGTGCACTTCAGAACTTGGCTTTAGAGGCAGCACCAGGAAGGTGAGGTTCACTGCTTGAGCTGGTTTCTCAATCCAAAACCTTAAGACACATAAGAATTTTCAGTTCTTGCCTGATTGATAGGAAGAACCATGGTGTATGTCAGATATAATCTAAAAAATATTTTTTAAAATTATAAATTTCATGTTTTAAAATATTTCATGTTTATTATCTAGTTTATGTGGCTGCAGAAAAAAAAGTTAACTTTTTACTCTGCAAACCTTTCCAACATAACCCAAAGCATTTCTCTAGAACTGAACTGAGCTAAGGAGTATGATTTGCCCCTTCCCCAACCCCTCTAAAGAAGCAACATTCATTAACAGGTTTGTAGTATGGTATCTCCCAGGAATCTGCAAACCTGTATTCTTAGAGGAAATAATTCACTGTTCTAGCTACTCCTAATTTTCTGCATGTAGTTTTCTGCAGAGCCACCTCCAAAGGAAACTGATGTCTACCTTGATGTATAGAAAAATTAGTCACAGAAAAATAACTCTTAAAGTGTAAGAGTTACATATGCTCTTAAGTCAAATTTATTCAAACTGCACTCTTAAGACAAGAGATTATAAAAGGGTTTAAATATCCTTGCTGGGATAAAGAATTTAGAATTAATTTAATCAGTGATGTCAATGTACTTTTTTTTCCCAGCCAGGTGATTCTTAGATAATTGAAGTCATATTAAAGCAAATAGTTTCATAGAAATGTCTGAGGATGACAGTCACTTTAGCATTCAAAGGAAATTGAGTTACACAATAAAATTCCTCATACGGCCTTTTCTCCCCAGGACGGAACAGGAATAAGACAGATTGTTAGTTTTTGTAAACTGGATGGGATAATTTAGATTTCATATGTAACTTCTTACTTCTGTTTTTTTATTATTATTTTTATTTTTATTATTTCCTTGTCAAACAACTGGAATGTTTTTGTGCTAGTTATCAAGTAGAAATTGAAGTTGTCACCCTAGGAATAAAAGCCTCATTTCACTCTAGTGTCCATAATTTTCTTTCACTATTCTCAGAAGAATGGAAATATTTAACGTAGTAAAACTGAATTAAGTCCTTCCTCTTTAACATTCAGACCAGAGGCTGGAGACGGCAAGTATTTGGTTTCATCTTCTGAAACTTTATGCTCTTCGGATTTACTGAAGTTAAACTCTCAGTGCCCTTCTGAAGAGGTGTTATTCATCCAACTGCATCTTTTTCAAAATGTTTCTATGCAGTATTATTCTTACTTGGATGGTTTGCCAGTCTTCAGAACTGCTAAGGAGATTTAATTCCTTTTTAAAAAAAAATTTAGTTCCTCCTGAAATTTAGCAGTTCCAAAGCATTTTGAGCTAGCTTTATTATAATTGCATGGTACTGTGAAATTTATGCAACTACAGTGTTATGTTTCATTTCAGGGTCATGTTCAGTATGGAATATTTTCTACTTATAAGGTTTAAGATAGCAATTCAGTTGTCTATCCTGCCTGAATGCAAAATGTATTCAAATCACCATTTAAACTTTATGATAATGTGCAAAACCTAAGATTTATGGAATATAATCTGAAAATCTGTTAATGTTAAGAACATCCTAGAAAATATTCTCCACCATAACTAAAACTGGTTCAGCTCTAATTGTTCCACTCTAACAGACATTGATTATATGGGCTGTTGAATCCTTTTCAAAGATACTGCTGCATCATCCTGCTGGATTTAATTGATAGGGTTATTGACAGTAATGGCAGCTCCCGAGGTACTTAAATGATAACTCTTGGTGTAGTGTCTCTTGGTGGATATGAAGAAATTATACCTGTCAATGTTTAGGTGGGGAGGGACTGAAATGTTTTATCTTAATAGGGTAATAATTTGGTATTGTGGTTATCTTTGTGTGTATCTCAAACCAGACTTTTTGATGTATTGTGCAAAATTGTTCAAAATCTTAGAAACAGTCTTGAGACTGGGGCAGGCAGACAAGTCATCAATACAATAAATCAGAGGTGAGGAAGATAATTTGGGTTTCTTGCATTCACTGTTATAGGAAACAAAACGAATAATTGATTGGGAAGATAAGACTGTGTTAAAGAAAGCAAATTTAGCACTTCTGGCAGTTCTCTCTCCATAGGACGATAGTTAAGGGGTAGCATGAGTTAAGTATCTGTCTTAGGCACCACGGCTTGATTGGTTTTCGGATCTTTTAAATTTTATTTGTAAATCTGTAGTAAGGATGACTCATCAATTATGTAATTATTTTTTATAACTTTATTTTTTTTAAGAAAGAAGGATGGGAAAGTATATTCTATGGTTATAAAACACCAACTGACTTACAATCATACAGTATCGAGAATGTCAGGGAGGAAAAGCTATTATTCAGAAACTAGAAAAGAAAGATTTTTAATTTGTGCCTGTAGTGCAGCCCTTGCTATTTATTGCTCAGACACAGCTTTGAGACCTACCTGTGGCTTTCCCTGCTTTTGGAATTTATCAAAAAATGTATTGGTTTGCTAGTTCAGAAAATAGTTTGGGAAAGTGTTGCTAGCACGTTTCGTAAATGTCTGGTTGTTTACGCATACCATGGAATGCTGGTGTGTTTGAGCGAAGTGGAAGAAATCATTGTGGTTTAGATACTCTCAGAATTAAAACCCCCAGACTTCTAATAGTTAAAACCAAGAAATAATTCCATTATTGAAGGGCAAAGAGGAATAGCTCTGCCATATAGCTTGATTGAGGGATGAGGTAAACAGAAATTAAGGCCTGTGGAAACCAAAATGACATAAAGAGATAGTTTAGAAAACTATGACACATGCCACTTTGTAATGCCTATTTGGTTTTCCACTGTTAGCTTGTAGAAACACAGCAAATTTAAGTAAAACAAGTCTCAAATGATATTTGTTTTGGTTCCATACTGACTTTCTAGTCAGAGGGTTTATTTCTAACAATGAGAATCTGAGAATCTTTTTCTGTTCTTTGACAGCCACGAGCTGTCGCTGGTTTTCGAGGAACAGTACGATATGCGTCTATCAATGCTCACAGAAACAGGGTGAGTATCTCACTCTATATCATATCCATGTCATGTAGCTGAAGACAGTCAATCATGCTGTTACTATTGGTTTCCTTTTTTGTATTCTTGTGTGTATATTTATAATGTAGAAATTAATATTTATCAATTTTAGGGAAGGCATCAGTCGAATAAAAGCGATCTTGTTGTAGAAATAACAGGGGTTTCAATAGCAACTTTGGTGTCCAGTTGTATTGTAAGTTAATAAATTAAAAGCTGAAATTACTGAGTTTCATAAAAGGCGTATACTCAGGAATTCTTAATAAACAGCTCTTCCAGTATAGGGACTTGCAGTGTTATTTTAACATACTTCATCTTCTGTTTTGTTTCTCTTTATCTTCTGTGGAAATTTGCTTGTATGTTTCTACTTTAAATAGTTGCTGGATTTTGTTATATGAACTTGGGTTGCAGCATTGATTTTAATAATTTTTATATATAACGATTTAAGTCTCCAGAGCAGTGAAGAGTCTCATGGGTGCATTTGAATAATGTTTCTTTTTCACAGGAAATGGGTCGGCATGATGACCTATGGTCCCTGTTCTACATGTTGGTAGAATTTGTGGTTGGGCAACTGCCTTGGAGAAAAATAAAAGATAAGGTAAACCTAAAAGTGAAAATAAGAGCACAAGGGAGATTTGCTTCTGGATTGCAAGCGAATGCTATGATCAAGATTCTTTTAAGAATAAACAGTTAATTAATTTTAGCAGTGAATTTTCCAGTGTTTTTAGTGTTAGTTCTCATTGCTAGTTTCTTGGTATAAAAAGCAATCAAGTTTTATGAACTTATCTAGGCACGTAGTGGATTGTGTTTGCAAATGTTTTAAAAGGCAAAAGTAAACATGTATATGCCACTTACTCAATTTTCCTGTTTTTACTTGAATACTTTTTGATTTCACTTATAAAACATTTAGAATTTCTTTTTTATTTTGACTATTTGTGAAATGGGATTTCTAATTTGCTGATAAACAAATGTGAATCAGTCAAGATGCAGTAGTGCCTCATAGGTGAGGTATATGAGGAAACAATGTCTACTTAGCCTACTATTACTTCTTTCAACTTTTGAAATTAGATTGAAACAAGTTTACTCTCTGGTGTGGTTTATGCATTGGTAGATGACAATGTGGTATATGGGTAGCGTTTCCTTTTGGTTTTGATTTACTCATCTTGCACTAAACAGGATTTACTAATCTTCTGCAATATGCTGTGGTGATCAAATATAAAGTGACTGAACTTCAGATGGTGCAATAGGAATCTTTAAAGCATCCTTTTTAGAAGGGTTGGACTAATGACAGTCCTTGATACCAGGCAGCATTTAAACACAATGGAAAATTAAATAGCTTTTTGTATTGAATTTGACATTTGTACATTATTTTGCACATGTACTGAGGGCAATGACAGAAATCTCTTATCTTGCTATCTGATACAGAGTGGCCTTCCTCAGTACTATTCAGTGTAATGTACTTACCAGCTTTCTGGCCAGCAGTGTATTGAATGGCTGTAAGATACAAAGTGAATATGCTGTAGTAGAGACTGAAGGCATGTTAATGTCTGTTGTGTTATTTACTCCTAGGAGCAAGTGGGCTCTATTAAAGAAAGGTACGAGCACAGACTTATGTTGAAACATCTTCCTCAAGAATTCAACATCTTTTTAGATCACATTTCTAACTTAGATTACTTTACAAAGCCTGATTACCAGGTAAATACTTTTACTGTTTTGTCTTCCTGATTTTTAAATAGCAGACTTTTATGCTATTTCATCTCTGGTCTTCCTTTGATTTCACTGTGGTGTCTTGTGGTGATTGCAGATTGTGCCAACACAAAATAATTTTAATCACCATTTAGAGTCACAAATTTTGCAGTTCAAAATTGTCATTGTTTTCCCATTTGGGAGGAATATAACGGCCAGTTAAGCTTCTAAGAACAACTGACAGTTGCTTTGCAGGCAGTGTTCTCTTAGAATCAGGTGTTATCCTACCATCATAGCCTCCAGTGGGTGCTCCTTAAGTTAAATTGATCAGATTGTTTTCTCAGTGATAGTCATTCTGGCAGTTTTCCAAAATCTGTAGCTCAGCACCTATAATGTGTACAGATGGAGCACAACATCCAGCCATGGTAGATTTTTAATGCTGCAGAGATAATCAGAAAACTAGTCATTTTTCTTTGTTTAAGAGAGTTATTGCCTGCTGAAACAGACAGCGTGAGCTTGGTGATAAAGTGATAGGTCCAAGATGATATGCTGTAGAATATGTCTTACTCAGTGTTGACCCATGCTTTAACAATAAATAAAATGAAAGATAGGGCTTTGTTCTGTACCAATGTGTGGAAAGCAGCAGAGAAACACTCAGGAAAAAAAGGGAGTGAGTCACTGAGAGTTTTTTCAGTCTGGGAGAAGTTGAACTGATCTAACATCACACCATGGCAAGTATGTGCCTTTCCTCGGGCTCCCAGAAACACACATTCCTATCATCTTCCCACTTGCATCACCTGTCTGCCTCTGTGCATTTATTTGACTCACTAACTCAGCAAAACGAGAAAGAATGAGTTTCTGCTGGTGTGCAAGCTGAATTGGTTCAATTGAATAAATAAATCGGTCTGACTAATTCTGGAATAAGAATTTCATAAGAATCTTTGATTCCCATGTTTTACTTGGTAAGATGAACAGAGAAATCAATGTAAGTTAGTAAATAAGAACTGAAAATATCAAGGAATAACTAATTTCCTGTTAGTAACTGAATTTCTCTAAATGTATTAGTATTCTGCACATTTCTAAGAAAAAAAATTTGCAGCAATACTGTTCATTTGATATGTATCATTCTTTGTTCATAATTATGGTTAAGCACTGAACGAGAATGTAGAATCACAGAGTCATATAATGTCTTGTGTTGGAAGTGACCTTAAAGATCATCTGGTTCCAACCCCTCTGCATGGGCAGGGCACCTCTCACTAGACCAGGTTGCTCAAAGCCCCATCCAAAGCCTTGAACACTTCCAGGGGTGGAGCAGCCACAACTTACCTGGGCTGTTTCACAGCAGCCTCATAGTGAAGAATTTCTTCCTAATGTCCAACCCAAATCTACCTCTTCCACTTTAAAGCCATTACCCCTTGTCCTGTCACTACATGCACTTGTAAAAAGTCCCTTCCTGCTCTGGAGAGTTTACAGTCTAAACATTTTGTTACATAGGCGGCGAATCCATGTTTTATTTTCACAATGTCAGATACGTTTATTCAGGTATTTATGCACACATTGCCACTCCTCCTGTCATCATCAAGCATTAAAGTTTGTATTTGCGTAATTTCTTTCTCTGTCATTGACACAAATTCTTCCAGATGCTTTTTCATGGTGTAAAATGAGGATGGAAAACTTCCACTGTAACATTTCTGTGGGATGAAGATCAGCATTAGATAAAGTAAATGATACATGGTTCTAAATAATAGAAGTGTATGAATTAGCAAGTTAGCATCCTTCCTGATGTACTCCTCATTCATTTCCTTGATTTCTAATGGTGTTACTTGTCTGTGTGTATCTTTCTTTTTATGGAAGCCTCTGGTGTATATTTGCCTCTCTTTACCATCAGAAACTTAGATGTAGTGGTGTGGGGTTTTTTAATAATAAACCAGAATTTTACATATCTTGACCTTGAAACCCCAGAACATGAGAAATGGTTAATATAAACATCAGTGTCCTTTTTTTATTATTATTTTTTTTTAATTGTCTGTAAAAATCTTAAGAAACATGCTAATGTGTTATAGGAAAGTGTTTCTTAATTGCTTGGTCTCTTAGATGAAAATTAAGCTTATTAATTTTTTATTTCATTTTTAGCTTCTTATGTCTGTGTTTGACAACAGCATGAAAACGTTTGGGGTTATTGAAAGTGACCCTTTTGATTGGGAGAAGAGTGGAACAGACGGCTCTCTAACAACAACAACAACTTCAACCACACCTCAGTTACACACTCGTCTTACTCCCGCTGCCATTGGGTATGTGTACACAATGTGGTCACTTAAAAAGCAGCTGCAGACTACTGAAGGGAAATAATCTCCATAACTTAGTTTTTTTCTGCAGAATGTTGAATAAATAGACAAATGCGGGTTTGGGAGCATTTGAAGTATAACCCTCTCTAGGGGTCCCATTTGTACTATCCTAAAAGTTCAGCACTGTTGTCCTAAATTTATAGCAATAAACATAGTAGCTCAGGAAATCGCATATAAACTTGCTAACTCGTCCTTTGCTAAATTATATTTTGTGAAATTAAATGATGCGTCCTGAGTTTAACTGTCTGGAAATAAACTCATTGTTTTCTGTAAGCTTGGAATAAACTACTAGCTGTAATTTCATTAAAACTTTGAAAAAAGAACAGGTCTTTATAGGAAATTTGGAAACAGATTTAGGTCGTGTTTAAAATACTTAATATTTAATACCTACTGTCATAGAGTAAGTTGGATGACGTGATGTTGAATAATACTCAGGCTCATCTCGGGGGATTGAAGAACATAAGAGGTGCTTATGGGTGTGGAGGAAGATTTTGTGCCTGTTGTAGGTCTTGAGTAGATCAACTTTTAATCTAAGAGTCACAAAGTTTGGCATGACAGAGTATGTGTGTTGTGGTGAGGCTGAAAAACTTGTAAATTTAATTTAGAAATATTAGATTCCCAGCATTTCATGGTATTTAAAAAAAAAAGTGTTAAAATCAATGTCAGTCAAGATCTTAACTGGTGTTAATATTTCATAGGTGTACAGTGTGCACTGTTACACACACTGGAGCTGACGGGGATTTTGTGTCCCATTGTCACACTAAGTATCCCTCTGGAGGTATTGATAGTCTGGGCTGCAGTTAACAGTTTTGGTGACTGTAAAGGAATGACTTATAATAGACATTTTGAGCATTCACTGTTTAGGAATAGCATTGCTTCAGTTTCAAATTCTGAGCTAAAATCCTTATTTAGCTCCAAGTCAATGGGACTACAGAACTTTAATTAAAATGTAATGTCTTATTAGCATTATGCTTATGTTTTCATTGTCAATAATAGGACCAAATAGCACTTTGATAAGAATAGTGATTAAAACTGAATTTAGTTTGATGAGCGATCTCTCTTCCTCCAACAGTAAGTTTTGCTATTCTGCCAAATTTGTGGGAAAATGAAACCAAAATTATGAAAGTTCTCATTAATTTTTTTAATAGAAAAATATGTGTAAAAGAGTCAGGAGCAAAGTTATGTCTGGACGTGATCTCCAACAAATTTTCCCAGAAGTTGCTTCGAAAACATTTCTTAAAAAACAGCTTTTAAGTGATTGGTTTTTTATTTTACTTCTTTTGTTATGTGCCTAAATTAGACATATATTGTGAAAGCTGAAAAGTAAGGGGTTTTATATTAAATACATGAAAAAATTAGTTTTCTACAGAAGCATGCTTTTGCTTGGTTTTTTGTTGTTGTTTTATTTTGTTTTCTTTTAATAGGGTAGAAAATTATTTTTAGTAGAAAATAACTTTAAGAAGCACATTAGAGTATCAGCAGTTTTACCTTCTCAATTTTTTTTTCCTCAAACTACTTTTGTAGAATTGCCAATGCCACTCCTATCCCAGGAGATTTGCTGCGAGAAAACACAGATGAAGTGTTCCCTGATGAACAGCTCAGTGATGGAGAGAATGGTATTCCTGTTGGTGTCTCACCAGAGAAATTACCTGGATCCCCTGGGCATCAGTGTCCTCAGGAAAAAGACGTTTGGGAGGAAATGGATGCAAACAGAAACAAAATAAAACTAGGGATCTGTAAGGTACTTAAAAATCTGCATTGTGAAGATCATCTTTGAACAGTTTCCTGTCCTCATAGTGCACATAAGATACAACTAATAATGCAGTCTTACTAATACTGATTAGGTAGAAGGATCTAAGAAAAGATGTATGGTAGAGCTAAAACATGAGTGATTTATGTACTGGAACGAGCAGACAAGCTTTTGGGCCTTGTGTCACTTTATCAAGTTTTTATGATGAATAGCAGATTGCTGATAATTTGGGATTCTTTGTAGTTTATTCATATTCATGTTCTTCAGACATTATTTTGATTCTTGCTAACTCAGTGAAACCAAAGGAAATTTCCTGTATCTTGCATGTGTCAGGTTAGATACTGAATATACAAAAAACAGCTTAATGTTATTCTTCAACTGACAGATTGGTAGTGTGATTGGCAGTTTCCATTTAAATCATTTGATATTTCTGTCTCCATAAGATGTGATCCCTTTGTACTGATCCAAAGAGGTTCATGAGAGAGAGAATGCTGCTTAGTTCTCAAAAGTGGCCCCTGAAAAGTGGTTCCTGTCTCCCTTGCTCACAATCACATTTCATATTCAGACAAATGTAGCTGTTTCTTGATACAAAAATGTTTTGAACATGCAGAGGGATGTAGTACTGAAATGCTTCTTAGCTATGAAAGCTGTCCAGTTATGAGGCTGTTACTTCTTGTTTACTAAGAAAAAATGTATTGTGAGAAGGAATAAGGCATAGTGCCTATTTTCAAATGTACTTGTTTGTTTGATTTTTTACCAAAGAGGGAGAAAGGAGATTGTTCTGGTATAAACAAAGGCAATTTCTATTAGTTATACCTGTTGAATTCAAGGATTATAATAATTTCCAGCTCTAAATCGTGTCCATTTAGTGTACAAAATGGAATGCAGTTGGGTTAAGACATCATTCTAAGTCACAGAAATACCTAATAGATTTAGTGTGTAACAGTGTTTAGTAAGAGCACTTGGCAGTAAAGCAGACTGAAGATGCGACCAAGTGCTGGGATACAGACTGTTCTTAGAGAAAATTTCAGAGACGGATGTGAAATATCAGAGTAAATATAAGTGTATTGCTAGGTTTTTGAGACTCCTGTTCTCAGACCTACCCAGACTAGTATATTATTAGTATTTTGTCTGTTGTAGGTGGGTGCTGAAGAACGTATCTAAACTACCTTAACTATGGCATCAAGTTAGGAACTATTCCAAAATCAAACTGGGTTATCACAGGCTAAAAACCTAGATGGTATTCACCATGTACTACCTTATCTTCCCCTGTTTTGCCACTCCTAGTGAGTTGTGTTTTTACTCCACTTTTTGCACAGGCTGCTACAGAGGAAGAAAACAGCCATGGGCCAGTGAACGGAGTGCTTAATGCACCGAGTCTCGGTTCTCCGATTCGTGTTCGCTCAGAGACCACCCAGCTAGACAGAGATGCCCCACTGGTGCGAAAGCTACGTTCAATTCACAGCTTTGAACTGGAGAAGCATCTGACGTTGGAGTCAAAACCAGACACTGATAAATTTCTTGAGACCTGGTAAGGGAATTCTTTTTAGTCTTATGCTTAGATCTTTTCCGTGTGTGTAGTTAAGATGCTCTCATCTTTCCTCTGCTGTGTGAGAACCAGGAATAGAGCTGCTGAGTTTTGCTTATGCAAGCTACAGCCAAGTATTTACTATGTTCATAATATCGCTTCATTTATGGATTTCATTACTTGGCAACTTCACAAAAAGATTAATGCTACTACACAGTTAAAGTTGGACTTCCACAATTGAGAATTTTTTATTTCAAGACCATTTGTTTGAGGAAGCAAGTTGTGCAAAACATAAATGAGGAATAAATCCAAACAATCCCCATAACATTCTGCTTGAAAGCAGCTACTAACTGCTGCTGAAGATGTGTATTTCTTCTGTTCTGCTTTGAGTCTTTTGCTTTGCAGCATAAATTAACTACAATGTACATCTGGTGGTTGCCTCACCACTGAGTTGGTATCCACTCACTATTGTGCCTTCTGATAATATATTTACAATATAATACAATACATTACAATTACGCTGCCCACTTTTACCTGACATCAGAGATAATTATCTCAAATTGTGCATCATTCAGCTGTTGTAGATTGTTCTAAAATGTGACAATTTTTGAAAAATACAGATCTAGTTTTCCTCTACTGAAAAAATCTCAAATGCAGCTTACATTATTTAATTCATTCTTAAGTAATTAAAATATTAACTTCTTTTCTTAAGTTTGGAGAAGATGCAGAAAGACTTGAAGGCTGCGGCAGAGCCTCCTGTTGCTGCTGTTCCTCCTCTTTCTCAGAAAAAAAACATTTCTGCTCCTGGAACTGCCCGCAAGGACCATGTTTGGCACTATGATGAAGAATATCTTCCAGATGCTTCAAAGCCAGTGTCAGCCAGTTCTCCAGAACATGCTGATGGTGTTATTAGCAATGGATTTGTAGCTGTCAACTTAAGCTCCTGCAGGCAGGAGGTTGATTCTAAAGAATGGGTGATAATAGATAAGGAACGGGACTTGCAGGACTTCAGGACAAATGAGGCTTTAGGGCACAAAACTACTGGAAGTCCCTCAGATGAAGAGCCAGAGGTACTACAGGTTCTGGAGGATTCTCCTGCAGAAGAGCAGCCCAGACAGGGTGGTTGGGCAGGAAACAGTGTCCATGCCAAGAACCAAACCTCAGGGGTGGACTTTGTTCTAGCCACGGAGTGTCATCCTGCTGCTTCTGAACAGCTTACTGAAAAATTGGACCTTCTGTCTGGGGCTGCTGGACAGCTTTTTGCAGCTACTCCTACAAGTCCTATGGAGGCTCAGGCAGAAGGAGCACTCACTCTGGTAAGTGAAACAGTCACTGTTTTATTGAGAATCTCTTTATTCAGAATCATACAAAGAGATAGTAAGGAAAAAGGCAGTGACTAACATATGATAGTGTAGCAGAAATTGCTAACTGCATCAGATATGGAACTTGGTTCTTGAGGAATGGTATTCTGTGTTGTGTTACATGAGTGTTTACATTCTCCCATGGGAGTGCTTATAATTCTGCAGGTGTGATCCACAGATCAATTAAAAAAATAATAATTATATATATTTTATTATATATCAAGAAGCTCCTTATGCAGTGATTTCTAATCAGTGAGAAATACACATGCAAATACATTTTAATTATATTTGCAGTTCACAAACATAAAATTACAATGAATATGTAAAAGACTGTGCTACCATGTTTCCTGTGTTTCAGGAAAAGTCTAAATGGCTAAAATTGTAGAACCATAGAATGTCTTGGGTTGGAAGGGACGTCTAAAGGTCATCTAGTCCAACTCCCTACAATAAGCAGGGACATCTCCAACTAGACTGATTGCTCAGAGGCCCATCAAGCCTGTCCTTGAATGTCTCCAGGGATGGGGCCTCCACCAACCCTCTAGGCAACCCGTTCCAGTCACCCACCACCCTTATGTTAAAGATATTTTTCCTAATGTCCAACCTCAATCTACCCTTTTCTAGCTTAAAACCATTATCCCTTGTCCTGTTGTTACATGCTCTTGTGAACAGTTCTTCCCCAGCCTTCTTGTAGGCCCCTTTCAGGTATCGGAAGGTCACTATAAGGTCTCCCCCAGAGTCTTCTCTTCTCCAGGCTGAACAACCCCAAGTCACTCAGCCTGTCTTGATAAGAGAGGTGCTCCAGCCCTCTCACAATTTTTGTTACCCTTCTCTGGACATGCTCCAACAGGTCCATGTCCTTCTTGTTTTGGGGGCTCCAGAGCTGTACACAGTACTCCAGGTGAGGTCTCACCAGGTCAGAGCAGAGGCAGAATCACCTCTCAGTCTGCTGGCCACACTTCTCTTGAAGTGCAATTCTCATTTGCACAGTTTTGGACTATTTACTTTTTTCTCCTCTGTCACTGATTCTAAACAAAGACTTTTTTGACTTTACTTAAGGAGGAAGTTAGATTATTGGTTAAGTGATTAGGAATCAGCTCCTGGTTTTATTTCTCCACTTTTCTCAGTAGATATTGTGTCCTCTATGGTATAAAGGAGAATTCTTTAAAGCTCCTTTGAACCAAGAAAATTCTGTCTCGCTTGATCACAACTGTTTGTGAAAGTCAGAGCCAGCTCATTAGAAAAAGAAACTTGTCACCAAACACTCATTTATTATAACATGTGGAATATCCTTTATGGTGGAAATGAACTACTTACTGTACAGCTACAGTTATTACATTAACATTTCAAAAACACATAGGTGCTCATGGGAAAGGCAAGATTCTATCTTTCATACAAGATTATAGTTAAACATCTTTTGTGAATTATATAGTTTATAGAAGATTCATTTTGCATTATTCTCAATATAGAACTGTGTTAAACAAATTGAGATTTTTGAGATGTAAGTTGAAATATTAGTTGCATGAAAGAGTTTTTGATGGGTTAGAAACTTGTAAAGGTGAAAAATTAATTTAAATTGCTCAGTTGTTTTAGTTGTTCAATTTTTGTATATGAATGTCAGTTTTAGTAAAACAAACAAGAAAGGGCAATGTTTATCCCTGTACAAAATACTAATTATCAGGTGTTTTTATTCGAAAGCCGTTAAAAAACAACTTGCAGTTTTGTATGCAAATGCACCATCCCACTTTACACAAACTTGGCTCTTTCTGGGGAAATTACTATTTTATGGAAAACTGAACTTAGAGGTGATATAAATAGCATGTACTACCGTGCAAATAATGGACAGTATCTTTATCTGGAAAGGAAGAAGGTTCTGAGCAGGGGAGCAAAAAGAGTTATAAATAATGTCAATTAGCTATACGATGTATTGGAAAAAATAATAGTTGAAGTAGACACGGGGGGGGAGGGAGATGATATTTTAGTTTGGCTTTGCAAGCAGGTAAGAGATATTTGTCATGACCTCAAAAATGGGGGAAATTAATATGGTTTATGTTCTCCTGTAAGGGCAAGTAGTGATGTGAGGGTAGCATGAATGGCAGGAAGGAACTTGCTGTTTTGGAGGTGAATCATGTCAAATTGAAAATATAAACTGAACTGGGAATAAAGAATATAGATATTATTTGGATTTAGAAACTGGGAACTGTGTGTCTATGCAGCGTACCTGTTCCAACTGTCATGGCAATTTGTGGGAGTCTTACATCTACTTCATTAGCCCTTGAAAACCAAACAAAGCTCAGGAGGATACCGGGGGAGAGTTCTCTTTCTGTGCTTCATTGATGGTATTCCACTTTGTAACTGATACTTAAAAATTCCTTGAGGTCAGTACCAAAACCAAGCTGCTCTTATAGGCAAGTATCCTAGTCATTTCAGAGGAATACACTATATATATATATATATATACACACACAGATAAACACTATATATATGTATATATATATGTATATATGTATATATATGCCTCTTCATGCAGTAGTTCTCTCTATTCCAGAATCCTCATGACCTCAGGGAGCTGTTTGGTAGCTGCTTCTTCAAAGCATGTATCCACCTGAAACTGTTCTCTGAAGGTGATTGTTCTTTGTGGGTCAGATGTTCTTGTTCTTCAGTAATTTTATCCAGGTACCACCTTCCTGGCAACACAAATTATGGACAAAGGGTCATACTTTACTTTTCTGCTGATTTAATTATATTGCAGCACTTCCTAAGAGCAGGCTTGGATCCAAGAATGTAAGTTTAGGACCATAAATCAAATTACTTAAGTACTACTTAAAGGGGTTAAAAATAGATATTGAAATTATATCAGTATAATAGCTTAATATAATTTCTGAAATGGTTTACTCATTTCAAACAGCTTGAAACTCGAGGGCGTGTCAGGAATCATGGTCATCCTGCTTATGAATATGCCTTCCATGTAGATTTCTAGTGACCTGCTTCACTATCACTTAGGAGAAAGTATAATGAATTATGTTCTTTCAACTTATTCTGTTAGGTCTGTTAAATATGCAAGCAATTAAATGGTGAATGAATAAAATAGTTTTTTCCAGTTTATGGTCTTTTTTTATTTTTAAATTTTACTTTTATGTCTCTTCTGTATTTGTTTTGGGGGTTTATTGCTCACTGTGTAAATAGTAAGTAGTAGCAAGGATGTTTCTGTATAAAAAAAGGTTTATATACTCACCCATAATTTTATTTTCTCCCAAAGGAAAGAAATTGCTGGTCTGAAGTCCTGCGTTTATAGATAAATGTTCTCCCTGAAAGTCTGTGTGTACATGGACTTCCTGTAATTGATTATATTATAATTTCTTACCTGATTCACACAGAATCAGCCTTCTAATAAGAATGTAAAGTTGTAGCAATTTAGGAAGGAGACCTGAATTTGAAAAATAAAAGAGAAAAATGTGTTAGTTATTGACTTGGGGATGAGCAAGTTTCAGGCTTAAAAAATTACAGCAAATTATGCTATCTATTATGAAAAAAGCTTGCAGGTAAGAGAATTAGTTTTCCTGTGATTGCTCATGGTTTTCCAGTTGCAATACGGATTCTGTTTGATACCAGCAAATACCAGTTTGATCTGGCTTAGTTATGGGCACATGGGCACATTTTTGTTGAACTACTGAGAGCATACTGGCATGCTGACTTTATGCTTTCTTGATGGCGTTATGTTGACTTTGGCTGCAGGAGGACAGACAGTAGCTGATTTGCTGTAATATCTACTGGTATGAACTTAATCTGTCAAAAGAATTTGAACTGGTCTAGACTGATGATGAATTTATGCTGGAGCAGCCCTTTGCGTCATACAGCTCTACTTTTCTTTTCCTTGGTCTGGTACTAAGACCCTAAAGCTGGACTTACTCTCTTATTGAACCATGGCCTCATTAATTACTGCATTTGTAATAAATTGCATACATAGTCCATACAGTTCAGGCACAGAACTTTGCAGCATACATTAGTGAAGAAGATATTTCAGCAAAACTGAAACTTAAATTTTCCGTGAGGACAGTACCAAAACCAAGGTGCTCTTATAGACATATATCCTTGTCATCACAGAGAAATACACTATATATATATATATATACACACACAGATAAACACTATATATATGTATATATATATGTATATATGTATATATATGCCTCTTCATGCAGTAGTTCTCTCTATTCCAGAATCCTCATGACCTCAGGGAGCTGTTTGGTAGCTGCTTCTTCAAAGCATGTATCCACCTGAAACTGTTCTCTGAAGGTGATTGTTCTTTGTGGGTCAGATGTTCTTGTTCTTCAGTAATTTTATCTAGGTACCACCTTCCTGGCAACACAAATTATGGACAAAGGGTCATACTTTACTTTTCTGCTGATTTAATTATATTGCAGCACTTCCTAAGAGCAGGCTTGGATCCAAGAATGTAAGTTTAGGACCATAAATCAAATTACTTAAGTACTACTTAAAGGGGTTAAAAATAGATATTGAAATTATATCAGTATAATAGCTTAATATAATTTCTGAAATGGTTTACTCATTTCAAACAGCTTGAAACTCGAGGGCGTGTCAGGAATCATGGTCATCCTGCTTATGAATATGCCTTCCATGTAGATTTCTAGTGACCTGCTTCACTATCACTTAGGAGAAAGTATAATGAATTATGTTCTTTCAACTTATTCTGTTAGGTCTGTTAAATATGCAAGCAATTAAATGGTGAATGAATAAAATAGTTTTTTCCAGTTTATGGTCTTTTTTTATTTTTAAATTTTACTTTTATGTCTCTTCTGTATTTGTTTTGGGGGTTTATTGCTCACTGTGTAAATAGTAAGTAGTAGCAAGGATGTTTCTGTATAAAAAAAGGTTTATATACTCACCCATAATTTTATTTTCTCCCAAAGGAAAGAAATTGCTGGTCTGAAGTCCTG